TATAAATAATGTTTAAAGGACTTAGAACGGCTAGTTCGCCCTATTTCCTTTTCCTCGTTGGGATGTGGTCTGGTGGGTATCGGTTATCCGTCTGAGGGTTGTTTAAATATTAGTTATATATCATGTATACATGTATAGACATAAAGGTTTCCATCAACCAGTTCAGTCCTTGAGTAGTACAAACATCCTTCTATTATTCAAGTTTCTAGAACCCTAGTAACTATTATAGGAATAGTTAGGAGATTCTCTCTCTCTCTCTATATATATATATATATATATATATATATATAATATATATATATATATATATATATATATAGCTCTCTCTATCTCTCTCTCTCTCTCTCTCTCTCTCTCTCTCTCTCTCTCTGGCTCTAGTACGAAGATTTACTTAGGAGTCAGTTCAATTGCGAGTCCATATTATTACTATAATATTTTAGAATGTGACACACTATTTCTCTCTACGACGCCTCATAGCGCCATCGTCGTGTAACCAGAGTCTCCGGGGAGGAGAGCGAACATCATGTGTATAGATCTATACGGGACTGACACTCCCACACCCAGACTACTAGCTACAATCCGCGCCGGTAAGGCCCATGGGTGACATAATGTCACTACCTCTATGCGTGACCTGTAGGGTCATCAGACACTCTATCGTCGATCAGCATGGTTACATACGAGTTCACATTCACCTCTTGTTTTAGACTTTGCTAGATGTATCGTTCATTCGATACTGTCTGGAGTCTGTGCTTCCTTGTGTTAGACTGAGCTAGGCGTATCATTTATACGGTACTCTCCTGGAGTCTATGTTTTCATTTGTTTTAGTCAGTAGTATTACTGCTGATGTATATGTTATTTTCCTCTAATATTTTTACTTGTGTTTTTCTTATAATCCCTTTAAAATCAATACTGTATTTTGATAATGATAGTATTTTGGGGAAAATTACTCCTTAAAACATAAAATCGTCGGGTCTTGGTAGAAGACTACCTTTATTTAGAAAATATAGGATTTTATGGAAAGAACGCTAACACACCGTAGATTCTAGATTACTATCTTTCATAAAGTTATTTTGAATAAAAAAATGTGTATTTATACAAATGATACTAAATACTTATGGACTCACCAGCATTATAAAAATGTTGATACTCGTTTTCAAAATAACTTGTATTCTCAGGTCATCGATAGACATGTACATCCCGGGAGCTTTTGCGGAGACATCCTAGTAGCGAGCTGCATCTATGTTATGTTCTGTATTTACTTTGATATTGCTATGAAATGTAACCTATGTAAAATTATTACTATTAATGCAAAGGTTGTTGTACTTTGATTACTATACTACATATGTTGTGATACTTGACATGACGTCATCCACCCCAGAACGTTTCCACCGTTTCGGTTTTGGGGTGTGACAATAAGATGTGATTTGAAGGTATATATGTCAAATCCTTTTCAAAATCATACACATAAGCAACATTCATTAGAAATCACTGAATCAAAAAAATAATTCATTAGAAATCGCTTATTTCTAGAGTTCACAAGATATATATAACGAATTGGCATCAAATTCAATACTTGAAGGAAGAAAAAATGTCGGTTTTAAAACAAATTAGGAGATTTTGATGCTGCTCCATTTCATCAACAGCTAACCTAATGGGAACAAATCCAAGTGTATGAAGGATATGAATGAGTACAACTTCTTAAGATATGAAATTTTTGATAGAGTTGAAAGAGAGAATCTTACCTTGAGAGAAGTGGAGGATTGAAAAACATATAATTTACGCCTGTAAAGTGGAAGAGAAGAAGGTTTGGCGTTTGGATTGAGAGATATTCTATGGTTTTGAATCATTATGCAAGTGATTATAAATGAAAACCGTATAGCAAAAACATAGCAAATTCCCAAAAATAAACAATGGTTAGATTGAACAATATAATAAAACTAACGATTTAATCAATTTTGAATGGAGGAGATCGTGGGTGCCGGAGAAGATCAGTTGAATCAAGAACGTAGAATCGCCGATAACCTACGTTATAGTTGCAAAGTGGAAGGAGTTATAAACCGAAGAAGCCTCCGTATCGTGAAGGTTGAAGAAGTCTTTGGAAGCTGTAAACATCTAACAGCAAACCATCATTTTATAGGCGGGTGAGGATGAACTAATGTAGCAGTTACCGGCATGTAGCAGTTACAGGCATGGACACAGTCGATTTATGCTCCATGATTGATCAAACGATGGAAGCAATCGAGGCAATTGATGGAATGATTGAAGCAAATACATTGAAATTGAACTCTTATTTAGGCTGATTTGTACGATGTGATTGTAGCAATTATCGATTATGAAACATGGAAGCAATCGTGCGTAGAAACCGATCACTGAACTGCAAAAAACTACCAAATTAGAGTTTATACGACTCAGATTGAAAGAACTTTTAGACAGTTGAGATTTGGAGGACGATAGTTAGACTCACCGTCGCCAATAGAATAAATAATATAATTCTTAAAAATTTAAATTAAAATTAGGTTCTTATCCTTTTTCAGGTTTAACCGTCTTACATTCCATGCCAATGTGATCGGTGGTTATGTATGTATAATTGTAAAAACATATGTAATCCATCCATTTTTTTCTATAATCTTAGATATTTTTTTCTCAAATATATATTTCATAGCATATTTAATATTTTGATAGTATTTAACTAAAATTAGTAAATTAAGAAGATTTTAATATCAACTTTTAGCCAAAATAATAAAAAAATAATATCAGTGTTTTTTACATGTATAAAATTTTCGCTACAAGGCTCATATAAAATACTAGTTAACACTTAACCTTAACGTCATGTGTTATACTCACCACTAACCATTATAGTGGTGAGTACCACATCATCACCACACTACCCGTCACTAACCATGAGATACTTACAACTAAACACACAACTCCACCTCAATTTTTAAATTAAATTTAAATTAAAAATACATAAAAATCATATAATTTTTTTAAATACTAGTTTTTCATTAATTTAAAATACCAAATTACATTAAATAAAAACTCTATTAATAAAAATAAAAATGAAATAAAAATAACATTAAGAATTAAAAACCTAAAAAGACTAAACTTCTAATTTGTGTGTTTAAGCAAGGTTATTCCGTTTTGGGGAATTCTTCAACTTTTGTCAAGCTTTGACGAATCCAAAACGTTTATGATTTGTGTTTTCATATTGCTTCATGGTCACATTAATCATATCAATATCGGTTTCGTGTACGTTGTTTATAACAAAGTTGTAAATTTCATTGAACTCAGAACATTTGGTCCTCATATCGCGCCATTTCGAGCATATTTCATCAACATTTCGAATTGCACAACCCATTAAACCATGAAAAACATTTTCAACATTTCTTCAAAAAGAACCAGAAGTTTAACCAGCACATTCTTCCGAAACCATCACCCATGCTTGTGCTAATTTATCTTTTTCCTCTTCTGACCATTTCTTGTGTTTGGGAGGCATGATTTTTAAATGATCAAACAACAAAAATGTTTGACGACTAAAGGGAGAAGAAATTTATGAAAATAAGAAGATGAGTTGTAGTATTTATAGGTAAATATTGAAGGAAGATGAGTAGATTGAAAATATAGAAAAGAGAAAGGAGTTCAAACGAGATTTAAGACAAAAAAATGAAGTGATTGGTTGGTTGAAATCGTTCTCCCGAACACGAAGAACCATAAACCACCCGGGTGGTGTGTGTTATCGTGGTTCGTGGTCACCTAGACCGCGACCACTTGGTGGCCACCGTACCGAAGGGTCTAAAAGGAGAACTAATTTCTCGGACTAAGGTCCCGTTTGATAGTTTCTGTCTGGGAAAGTGTTGTGTGGGAAAGTTTTCTGATTGGGAAAGAAACCATGTTGTTTGATTGTACATCTGACTGATTGTGCTGAATGATGAAAAAAAAATAATTCACTAAAAAAAATTTAAAAGAAGTTATTTAAAAATATTAATAATCCAATAACTTAAAAAAAAAGACGGAAAGATATGATTTTAGGGCTTCCTGGAAACACATATCTTACCGGAAAGATCCATACTTTTACTTTTGTGTAAATCAAACAACTTTTTTTGGTTCATTCAACCTGTGAAAACCTGAAAGAATGTGTATCAAACTGGCCCAAAAATTTAACAAGAAGAGTTGTTGGCAAGCAAAAGTGGGGCATAGAATACTATACAATACCGTTTTTGTCTCTCTCGTCTCTCCATAGTTCAGAACCCAAAAAAGGCACACCTGTAAATCGTACGAACAAGTTCGAATCCGGCATTTTCGATACCTTCACAAGTCTTCCATCTCTGCCTAAGAATCTATGCAACCGTATCGTCACCTCTACTTCTGGTATGATTCCCCCTATTTTACTTCATATTCTCGGTTTCCTTAGATTTTTTTTCATTATCAAGCTTTGTCAATGTTGTGTTCGCCTCTGAAATCTAATGTCATCATATCTCTTTGTTCTCTGTCTCGCGTTTTTACGTTATTGCAGTCAGCATTTTGATTTTTTTTTCAGTTCCAATTAAACAGATCTGTTCGTTACTCCAGCATTTTCAGAAATATGATATTTAAGGTGAAAAATACTCTTTAAGTTTTGGAGAAAATCTCATTATATAACCTAAAACCATCTCAAATAGTATAGATACAGCAACATTGTTACTGAAACTACTCTTCACCCGTTAAACCCTAACTTTTTATATATGTGCAATCATTTACAAAAGCGTGGCATCATTTTCTCAAATAGTTTTTAGACATCATCATTCTGACAAAACCTAATGGCCATTATATTTCTTCTAATCAATGATAATTCGTATATCACAGAATCCAGTTTCCACATTTACACCCCATTTACATTCGTAAATTATATTTTCCAGATTTTGCAGAAAAACGTATAATTCTGGAGACAATCATGTTTGTGGTTGGGTCAAAGAATTTGGGATCTCAAATTAGCATAGTTGATGTTTATTAGAAAGAACAACATGGCTCGAGCATCTACACCTCTCTTGATTCTAATAGCTCTTGGTTTCTTCTTTGGTACCTATAATTTGGTCACTCTGGTAATTCACAATACAAGTGATTCCCTGAAATTAAGGGACAATGGTTCAGAGTGGTTTCATGATGCCATTAGAAGCATGACAGAAAAAAAGAATTTAAAATACCATGTTGCCCTTACAGCCACAGATGCACCTTATAGCAAATGGCAGTGTAGGATTATGTATTATTGGTATAAAAAGGTGAAGGACTTACCTGGATCAGATATGGGAGGTTTCACTAGGGTTTTGCATTCGGGAAGCTCTGATAATTTGATGGAAGAGATTCCAACTTTTGTGGTTGATCCTCTTCCTGATGGACTTGATCGGGTGAGTCATCTTTTTTCTTATAAAAACAAATAGTGATCTTTTTACATCATCTCCTTCACATGATAATTGTTATTTGCAGGGTTATGTTGTGTTAAACAGACCTTGGGCTTTTGTGCAATGGTTAGAAAGAGCAACAATCGAGGAAGAGTGAGTTTTGTAATATTTTATGAGTGGAAATTAATTTGAGTGGATTTTAAAAAAATAGAGCATTCTATTACTGATGAATGCAGATACATTCTAATGGCAGAACCTGATCACATATTTGTAAACCCTTTGCCAAATTTGGCACGTGGAGAGCATCCAGCTGGATTCCCGTTTTTTTACATAAAACCAGCTGAAAATGAGAAAATCATGAGGAAATTCTATCCAATGGAGAAGGGTCCTGTTACAAATATTGATCCAATTGGCAATTCTCCAGTAATTATTAGCAAGGTAAATCCTTATTTACTTGAAATAGTTCATTTCCATTGCAATGCGAAAACCTTTTGTTTTTTTTTTTTTTTTTTTGTCTCATGGAATCCATTCCTGAAGGAATACAACTTTTTTCATTTTGTTAATTTTCATTTTTCAGCCATGGGTTGTTTTTTCTTTCCATCATGGAATAAGAAATTGCAATATAACTCATTTTCTTTTATGTAACCATTTTGATTTGTGTAGTTAAATGTTGAAATTGTTTTTCAGAATCTTTTGGAGAAAATTGGTCCCACATGGATGAATATTTCATTGAGAATGAAAGATGACCTGGAGACTGATAAAGCCTTTGGGTGGGTACTGGAAATGTAAGTCTTTCTTATTATATATGTAGTATGTTTGTTAAAAATTTAAAAAAAAAAAAAAAAAAAACGAATTTTTTTTTGGTTTGAATTTTATTATGTATGAAATAAATAGGTATGCCTATGCAGTGGCTTCTGCATTGCACAATGTCCGGCATATTCTTCGTAAAGACTTGATGTTGCAGGTTTGTTGCATTAATAAATCTTCAATCTATTCCTATTCTTTTTTGAAATAGGATGCTAAGTACATTGTTTTTCTTGCATTTAATCCTTTTTTTTTTTTTTTTTTAAATTTCACTTTTTCAGCCTCCATGGGACGAAGAAGTTGGAAAGAAGTTCATTATCCATTACACGTATGGTTGTGATTACAACATGAAGGTAAATCTATCAAACAATCACAAACCAAATAGAAAGAAGTGAAAGTAGGATATGCAAAAATTTTTGACTACAACACTACAGGGAGAGTTAACTTATGGGAAGATTGGTGAATGGCGTTTTGACAAAAGGTCATATCTTCGTGACCCTCCACCCAGAAACCTCCCTTTACCTCCTCCTCGCGTTCCTCAAAGTGTCGTATGTCTTCTAAACACTGCTTTTGTTTTGTTAATATACAAGAATGGATTTTGTTGTTTTCCCCTTGGTTTCATTTTCGTTTTTCTTTTTCTCTTCCATCAACATCATGGAATGAAACATGATATGATATTTTTGCAGGTAAGACTAGTGAAGATGGTGAATGAAGCCTCCGCTAACATTCCTGGATGGGAGAAATTAAATAGTTGAGATGACAGATAGATAATTATTAATTAGTGGATCTGTATCGATTGTAGAGGCATATCCTACTTTTGGTGCATTCATACACTTACGTACATATCACAGTCACAGATAACCTACTTTAGAATCCGCAAATTTGAAGGCTTGTTTATGCTACAACGTACCCATGATCTGATATGATTAACAACAAACAAGTAGAATTTTTATTTTTGAGATCCATGTCAATAACGCGAAATTTGCAAAATGTCTCGCTTAAGACAATGGAACAAAAAAAGATTAGTTATTGATCTAAAGTGCGTATAGAAGGCATTAAAAATTAACCTCCTCATTCTCGTTCTCATTCTCATTATTGAAAATAACCACACAAAGTTTTACCATGTAACAAATGCATAAGGATAGACAGATGGAGTCGAAGCAAATTACCTGCTGGCTACACCACTCTTGGGTTACTTAAGCCTTTGTTCTCTCTTCTCTCCATTTGTACCATGTGCTGTGAAACGTGTATCTAGGGGATTGGGTTTGGAGGGATGGATTTCCATATAATGTGTTTTGGGAGGTGATAGAGCTATTGATGTGGTGACTATGTGGCAAGTGGGTTGGAAAGGGTGGGAGAGATGGAAACAAGTACATAGACCTTAAAGTTGATACATTTTGCTTGGCTTTTTGGAAGGGTAATAGACAAGAAAATGGGCATCATTGGGAATTGTTGAAATTTTAGTAATGTGTTTCTCAGTTGAACGATGCATTTCCACGTTTTGTTTTGATGAAGATAGATGGTTCATCTTTAAATTGCTGACATCATCTTCCCAACGTATAATCTAATCCTATGATTTCTACTGTTAGATCAAATTGCTGATATAACATCTTCCTAAAATATAATCTAAACATTTAATTATAAAATCTTTAAATTTTGCAATTACATTTCAAAAATAATTACATTTAATTATAGAATCTATGTATACTTTCTAAAATATATTTCACAATTAGAGAACAATTACGTTTAATTATAGAATTTTTAAAATCAGAAATTATGTTATCGATTAAAGCATATAATTCTATTTATATTTGTAATATCAGTTTCAGTTTCTCCATAAATCTGACCAAAAAACATGAATGGCCGTCCTATATTTCTCCTCTATTTTTCTCTCTTAAACTATGATTCCCTAATACTCTTCGTCCTCATGTCAATGTTTGTGATTCAACTGATGTTTTGTGTATTCATAAGAGAATGTAGCACCATAAGTTGGTTCTTTTTTGCTCATATATTCTTAGAATTTGTGTATTGCCTCTTCCTTGCATCTCTAATTATCACACTTGTATTTTGGCTTCACACAAATATCTACAAACTGAAGCATGCATCTCCTTCAAAACATCTTTTGACAATCTATGTCATCATTAACCCTAATTAATATTGTTCATAATTTAACTTTCTTATTTATAGTTTTTCGCTTCAAAATGCAAACCCGTTTAACTTTTTCTTTTTTCAAAAAGGCATTAAATAAGCATATTAATAATTATGTTATCTTTACTATATATTAAAACAAAAATCTTATGACATCATTTTAAATAATCTAGACAACTGATTGTATTTCAATCATATGTTTTCCACCTTTAGATCAAATTGCTGACATCATCATCTCCCAAAAACTCTAGGCAGTAATGAATGTCAATTTGGTTGTGAAGGTGTAGGTTTTTCTTTACACCTTCCTCAGAAGCTTTGGATAGGAAATCACTGGATCCAAGAGCCTCTCCTCCAGTTTCTTCCTTGATAACTTCATCGTCTTCCTCAAATGATGCACAAGAACCACAATATGAGCTTCTCTCTCACTCTCTAGCTCAAATAGCAATTAGGGTTTGCTCTCATGGGTGTACGGCGAATGATGAGGCGGAAATGGGGGCATAAGCTCCCTTATATAGGCCCCAACCCCGAGAAATTAAGGTTTCTCTACCCAGCACCAACTCGACGAGTCTGCCTCCCAACTCGTCGAGTCCATTCATTAAATCCCACACGATAACTCAGCCCTACTCGGCGAGTTGGACTCCCAATTCGTCGAGTCACTCCATAAACCTCAAGAATTCAACCATACGATAACATACCTGAAATTCCAGATGTTACATGAGACCAATCCTTAGTCAAATACTCTATTCTATCAAAGTTTGATCAAAAGCCAAACTAGTCAAAAAGTTAATGGTCAAAGTCCACAAGGTCAACGGTCAGCTTACTCAAAGTCAACATCACATCGTGACCATTCCTTGGTCACATCGTGAGAATGCAACGAAAAACAATCACGATTCTAGATACTGTCACGTCGTGACACATCCTATGTCACATCGTGACTTCTGGTCAGAAGGCCAAAATCTTCATTAAGTGCTTAGTCTCTTCAGACCAAGGCCCATAACATCATATCTAGTTCCTAAATAGCTCCTAATGGATAAAGTTTCCAACTTTATCCATTAGGATAATCCAAACAACCAAGATCCAGTCTTTAAGTCTCAAAGGGACCAAGAATGCATCTTTCTCAGCTAAACCCATTAGGTCCAAGTCTCCAACCTTCAGATCTGAATTAACATAATGTTTAGATGGATAAAGTTTATAACTTTATCCATAATAATGTCTCAAGCTTCCAAGATCTAAACTTTAATACACCAAAATGGCCTAAATGACCAAAATAACTTGCATGGCTGAAAGGGAAGGCAAAAGATCAGAACTTTGCTAGTCCATGAGGTCCAAGAAAACATTCTAAATGCGATCAAAAGGTGTTGGAGTCCATATCTGAAACATTCAATGTTCTTGGGGCCTTGGAGAGTAATAAAGTTGCAAACTTTATTCTCAACTCCCACTCAAAACTCATTGAAATGGACCAAAACACCAAATACACTTAGATCCAAAGATGGAATGCAATAAAGCTTGGAACTTTATAACTTACAAAGGTCTAGAATGTAGATGAAAGTTGAGATCTTCAATTGTCAAACTTCAAGGATCAATCTTGCATGAAAACATTGTTCCAAACCCACCAAAAACTCCAAAAATTAGATGAGAGGGGAGGGAAAGGCTCAAATCTTGAAAATTGAGGCTAGGGATTCTTCTAAGAGATTCTAGATATGATGGAGGCTAAGAAAATACCCTAAAACATGAATCCTTACCTTTAAATACCTTGAAAACCCTAAAAATTTTGTAGGCTTTGGCTGCACAATTCTCATGTCGTGAGAATATATTCTTATCTCATGAGCACTTCTCACGTCGTGAGAATTACTGCTCACCTCGTGAGAACGGGTTTTCACCCGATATCACTCCAACTTCAAACAGTCATAACTTCTTCTTTTCAACTCCGTTTTGGTGACGAGCCCTACACTTCTATTTATTTAATTTTGGCTTAATACATGTCGAACTAAAAACCATAATTCATGAAAGAAATCTAAAACATCATTTTTTTCATTTTACCATTTGACTCCAAGACACATACCAAAGCTTTAATTACTTATCCAACATTGTCATCATCCAATAAAGTCTAAATCACATTCTCTTGAAGCCCAAGACCTTTATTTAATCCATAATCCCGAAAATAAGAAACTTTTCGAAATAGGATGTTACATCGTATTTTATATATATATATATATATATATATATATATATATATATATATATATATATATATATATATATATATATAGAGAGAGAGAGAGAGAGAGAGAGAGAGAGAGAGATTGATTGATAATAATGATAGAAATTAGGGGTTGAAACATTATTTCTGGAAACTGAAATAATCTTAAAGAATATGCATAACATGAGGGGTTGAATATGGAAAATTATAATAAAAAAAAGTCAGATGATTGTTTACAAGGGGAACGAGTCAAAATAAAAAAAAAATGGAATTTTTTTAGTTATAGGAATTTCCAAGAAAACTCATACAGTAGCAGACGAACGACATTGGACCACTGACACTCAAAGGTACATTATTATTTTTGTGTAGTGAAGGGTTCATGTTATAAAAGATTAATAAATTATTTGAAATGTTATTTTATTATTAAAGATGTTCAGTTTAAAATGAAAGTTTAATGTTTTTTTCCAAAGAGAACGAAAGTTTAATGTTAACGTGGACATTACATGAAATTTTATTTTATTTATAAACTTTGTGTTGTAAAGATATCAGTCAACTACCAGATATGCCTATTTTAGTCTTTCAAAAATATTATTGCTAAAGTTTCAAATTTATTTTTCCGCTCCATTTATTTAAAAATTGTATTTGTAAACGGCTAAAGGGATTTTTGTTTTCTCTATATCAACTCATGTTTTAGATTAAAAAAAAATCATGTTTTACATAAAATGAGTAAGGAGGTGATTGGGATTGATTTTGAAGTTTTGTTTTGTAAAAGTGTTAATTAATTTGTACAGGAGTAAAAAACTTTTTGAAAAGTGATTAGATTAAGTATACAATGACAAAATACTATTAGCTGATAAATACGTTTTAAAGTGTTTAACAAAAAAATGACAAGAGATTTATATATTTTGGCTAGGTCTGATACTTAAGTTGAGTTTGGGTTGGTGGGTCACAAATTGGTGTGTCAGAATATATTGACCTAACCTAACCTATATAATATATTGGTTGGCGGGTTGGCTGGTCATGAATTGACAGGTTGGCAGGTCATGGATTGACGGGTTGGAAACATTAACTCAACCCAACCCACATAACTCATTTAAGTATTTACAAGAATGTTTGGTCTTTTTCACAATTTATGCAACAATATTGTTTTTTATATAAAATATACAATAACATTTTAATGTAGGACCAATTCATGCAACCATTTAGCTAAAGATGTCGTTAAGTGAACAAGGTTACACAACGCGTAGCCTGGTTGGATCCCATATTCTGAAGTAAGGCTCTATGTCATGCGTAGAGTTGGAGAACACAACGCGTAGATCAACGAAAGTTGACCTTGACTTTTTGACCCGTTGACTTTTGGTCAACTATTAGTATAGGTCTCAGGAAGGGCAAAATGATCTTTTGTCATTAAAAGAGTTAGTCTTAGTAGGGCTGGCAATTCTCGACACGACACGCGACACGACCCGCGACACGACATGAAATAAATGGGTTTGGGTTGAGTTTTTCAACCCGCCAACCCGCTAACCCGTCAACCCGCCAACCCGTTTATTAAACGGGTTATATATGGGTTTCTCAAAAAATAAACGGGTTGACCCGCCAACCCGTTTATATTCTTAATAAAAAAAATTATATTTTTAAATGTATTTATGTATCAAGTATTAATATTTAATAAGTATTATATAATATATACAATTTATTCATAGACCATTTGATTGTTTTGACATTATTACTCGTGATGGATGGTCTAAGGTCTTAAGTCGTAACCTATAAGGCTAAGTCTGTAACATGTTTCTATGAATGTTTTTAATTTTCATTTGGATGTTTTAGACTTAAATATCTAAAATTTGGACCCACGAACCCAAATCTGACCCATGAACCCGCCAACTTGTGAACCCGTATAAATAAATGGGTTGGTGGGTCATATATGGGTTTATGTTCCAAACCCGTCAACCCGTGACCCGCCAACCCGTGACCTGTAT